ACTTGGATAATGCCCTTAATGCCGGGCTGTAACTTTTGGTCAGTCCTGAAGTGGTCAGGCAGTTGGACGGGATGGTCATGGTAGGGCCCTTCCAGCTGAAATTATTCTATTCTATTCTATTCTAATTTTATCCTATCCTAATTTTATCCTATTGCATCCTATCCTAGTTCTATTCCATTCCATTCCAAACCCTCCGCTGCTTTGGCGTGAGGGTTGCAGCAGGCACGCGGTCACTGCTGGGAGACGGGCGAGTAACTGGGAGACGGGCGAAGATTCACCAGTTGGTGCTCCCAAGCCATAAACGTGGAGCTTTCTGTGTGGAAACTCTGATAACGATGAATTTCCAGAACTGGGGTCAGATTCTTGCACCGATGCAAAGAAGTGCCAGGGGCTGCGTCTCGCTCGCTGGCGTTGGAGCAGCTCGTCTGGATTTGCAGCGTGTAAATGAGAGCCCGGCCTGAGTCAGGCTCCCAGGGCGAAGCCGCCCGGCTGCTCGGCCATCAAAGCGCTCCTCTCTGCCTGTCCCCGGCGGGGGCCCACGGCACGGTGAAGCACCAAGCCTGGGGAGGATTTTGGGGGGAAAAATCGGTCAGAAATGTGCAAAAAGGGGAGAAACTCCAGCGGGGCTTTCTCAAAGCTGGGCTGCGGGAGGCTGGGCGCATCCTGGCCAGCTTGGAGTCACAGCGATGGGCTGCTGAAGGGATAATGGTGTTTTTTTCTCCCCTTGTGAAAGGGAGCAAAAGGGTTTGTGCGAGTGTTTGGGAAAATGACCCCCCTGCCCGTCCCCCGGCGCGACGTCCTGCGCTGGACTGCACCCAGGCCTGGTCTGTTGTGTGCAGGGGAGGGCGGCGGGGACAGGGGGCCCGAGGATGCAGGGGTGCAACAGCCGTGTGTTGGGGGGTTCAGTCGGGAGAAGAGAGGGCTCTGGGGAGACCTTAGAGCACTTTCCAGTGCATGGGGGGAACTTTTCCCAAGGGCAGGGAGTGACAGGACAAGGGTAACAGGTTTAAATTGAAAGAGGGAGATGGAGATGGGACATCAGGAAGGAATTCTTCCTGCAGAGGGTGGGGAGCACTGGGACAGGTTGCCCAGAGAAGCCGTGGATGCCCCATCCCTGGGAGTGTCCAAGGCCAGGCTGGATGAGGCTTGGAGCACCCTGGTCTAGTGGAAGGTGTCCCTGCCCATGGCAGGGGGTGGGACAGGGTGGGCTTTAAGGTCCCTCCCAATCCAAACCAGTCTGTGACACTGTGATCAGGACACAAGGAGGAAGGAAGCGTTCGGCTCTCACCAAATATTGGCTCAGGAGGTGTTACCAATGGACTGATGACATTATGGAAAGGCTGTGCTGACCCCGCTGGGATTTCCCAGTGGTGGGATGTCGTTGTGACCTGGGCGGTGAGGGGTACAGCGGAGACTGAGGGTGCTGGAGGCCAAACTGGGTGCAATCCCAGCCCTCCTGAGCAATCAGCTGTGACCCCTTTGCTGATGGATTGTCTGGGTCAGCAGATGTGACAGAGCCCAGCACCCACAGGGGTTCCCCAAGACCTCATCCCTGTCCGTTGTCCCCTCCCTCGGGTGGCCCAGCGCTGGTAGGTTGGGAGATACCCCGGATTGGGGCCGGTGCGTCGAGCGCAGGTGCGCGTGGCATGGCTGGAGCGTGCTGTGGTTGTACCCACCTCATCCTCTGCCGGCCGCCCCGGCTCTGTTTTTATTGAGGAAGGAGATTTATGGCATCTTTAGCGGGGTGTGTGCCCGTACGGCT